GCTCTGAGGCAAAGATGATGAAACAGTGCTACAAAGGAATAAATAGACTGTTTCCAGGGGATTTCACCTTCTGTGGTACTAAAGGGAGTAGTAAATTACTTCAGATTCTGACACCCACAAATTCCATTTATTGTTTCTACAGTTTCTCACTACAGTTTTAAAACAGTATTTCAGGTAGTCATGTCCATGAAAATATCAGGTGTGCCAGGTTGCAAGGGCCCAACAAGCCAAGGAAAATTATTCGTATTGAGGCAACTTAAAGCAGGATAAAGCCCTGCAAATAAAATAACGGTGGGTCTTCTAATCAATTAAATATGCCTTCTGATTTTAGTGCTTTGTAAGATCTCCTCATGCAGATACTGGAATTGCTCTTAGTTGAGATAAGTGGGCATCCCAGTGAAATTTTTTAGCCTATACAATGTCTTCCTGAATGCATGTTGCATTAACGGGGGACAAAAATAACCATGCAATTTCTACAGCCTCTCCTGGGGGGAAGAGTGATCCTTTCAGTAATCAATCTTTCATCTCCCCTCTGCTGACAACAGGAAGATCTGCCCAGGTTTCTCTAGACTTTACATCAATGTCTTTTGAAAGGACTAAACATCTAATAATGTCTAAGTAATTTGTGGAAGGTTAGGAGAAGAAAATGTTAAACTGCAGTCGGGATCTGGCATATATCACTTTTGCCATAAGGTGCTAAATACAAATCTTACTTCTGAATTTTAAGGAAGGGGCATGCTTTCAAAACCCAGATCTCCATTTTGCAGCTTAGGCAATTACTTTCTTATTGGTATGATGTCTTGATATCACTTGCTATGGTCTGTGCCATGTGTTTATTGCCTAATTTTTCTTACATTTGTATTCCTCTTCCTCCAGAACAAGCCATTCCTGGCAACATACAAGAATAAAAACTACACATATCCAACTGTGGAGCCCACTAATGAGCCAATAGAGGTAACTGTTGCATCTTTTGTTGCGTTTTAGGCAAATTATGCAAAGCTTTATCTGGTGACTGTTCACACATCATCCTGAATTTATAGATGAGATTAAATATTACCAGTTTACAGAAAGGGAAGTCTATCTTGCATTGCATTTTTTCCCTGTGTAAACAAATGTTAAACTCTTCTGTTCCTAAAAGCCAAACAAAATGAATTGTATTAATTGGTGCAATTGTATCAAAAATTCTGCTCAACAGTAATTCACCTGGGATGCATCATTAATTCAGATAGCAAGTTCCTCATGACAGGGAGAAGGTAACTTAGAAGCCTGAGCCCCCAGATGATCTGAGGAAGGTTTACATATTCTCTTCTTGAGCCACTGTATTTCCATGCACTGAAGCAAGCTTAACCTGTAGAGGGCAGTCACCAGTCACCTTTACATGTTGGATAAGCGGCCAGATATAAAGGAGGTGATAGGGATCCAGTTTCAAAGCCATTCACTTTCCACCATGACTGAGCAACTACCACAAGGTAGATTAAACAAACTGCAGAAACAAACTTGGCATAGGAGTTGAAGAAATGGGGCAGTAGCTTCCTCTTGACAAATGGCTGCAAGGCACGCAGGATGCTCTGTTTCGGTGATAGAAATGTGACTGGATATGGCAGTCAAAATGGGCTGGGCTAGTTTGGCATACTGGGAGGTCCTCATGCCCAGTCAAATTATGAAAATCTCTGTGTGTCTTGAGGGTCTGCAAAGAGCAACAGCTGATACAGTTTCAGTAAGCCATCGTTTGCAATATTGAAATGAGGTTTCTATCTGTAGAGCTAGAGTTATATTTTTAATGGGTAATTCTTGCACTTCCACTGAATCTCAGCAGCAGTAGCTTTTGAAATGATAGGGTAAAGGGAAGAAATACTAGAGAGAGTGAAGGAATAGTTTCCTCTCTGATCTAAAAATAAGCCCAGCTGTCCTTTCTAGCCTCTGCAACCAGCCTTTAACTAGATGGCTGATAATAAAGCCTATTACACCTTTTTTTTACAAGAACAGATGAATTTGTCTTGCGGGTTTTTTTGCTTAGCACTAACCATGCTTTCTGAAGGCTACTGGTCCATGCAGTTTTTCTCTGAATGGGAGAATTGTGCAGTCACAGAATAATTCAGGTTGGAAGGGACCTCAGGACATCCTTAGTCCAACATCCCGCTCCAAGGAGGGCTAGTTCTTAGATCAGCATAAGCAGATGTCTTTGCTCTTACAGGGGCTGCCCGTTACAACAATTACAATTTTTCCCTCACTACCTTCTCAGCTAATGTTGTTGCTCACTACCAAAGAGCACGGGTGGCACATTAATCAGCTGCTCCTGCAGGTGAACCGAGATGTTCTGTGATGTGTGGTTGATTCAGTTTCCTCAACTAGAGGAATAAGCGTAATAGCTTATGATATCATCTACATATATATGGTAGTCTAATTATTTAGAGGCTGACAGCTCTCTTTACTGCAACTTTCAAAGCTTCAAAAATTTTTAAAATTTTATATTCAGCGAAAGCAAGCCTTTTTGAAAGTTTGTAGAAAAAGAATGGGTTTCTAGCAAGTTACATGGGAAATAATAATATATAATACACTAATATATTGTTAGAAATTTGCAGAGGGTTTTATTGTTGATTTTTGCTTTGTTTGTTTTTACATCTGATGTCCCTTGAGACAGAGGAGGACTTTAAACCTGAAGACCTCACCTTTTAGGGGGGCAGACAAAATCTCCAGGCTGGAGAGGAGGGGAAAGAATTATTCTCCTTATGGAACTTTGTCATAAGCCATATTTCTAGATTAAATGTTTTACCTTTGGAAAAATGTTTTGGCTAGAAAATGTCACCAAAACTCATTCCACAAAGAAGAGGAAAGGACTGTTGACCTACATAGGCACCAACCTAGGATCTATGTCTTAACTTAGTTTTGCCTTTCACTATACAATTAAACCATATATGAATTCCATATTATCTTCTATTCGTAACATGACCCAATTTTGTAACTTGCCATTTCAGAATTGGGGTAGTGACCTGTCATGTTCTGAACAGACTCCATCCAGTCATGTCCCAACATCAGGTGAGAAAGAACTCATAAGCTAAAATCACAAATAGGAAAGATTTCACCTTTTGTTTTTAAAACCAGTAAAATCTTGAGCTGGCAAATCCTAGATGGAAAGGAAACAAAAGCTGATATATTTAGCAGCAAAGGAAGAAAGTCTGTCGTGCCATACACAGCAAGTTCTGCAACACAGCAGGTGCGTTCTCCGTGGATAAATATGACCACATTTATCATTTATCATATACATATATTATATACAGCAACATGGCAGATTAAAATTGCTTAGGTAGGTTAGTGGTTCAGCAAGTTTGACCGACCTGGTGAGCCTACTCTGATAAACAGCACAGTAGGAGCACTGTGTGTAGTTGGAAGGCTTTACAGGGAGATTGCTGATGGTAAGTATTGAACTGACCCAAACCTGAAAACCAATTAAAAGAGATTGAATGTATGCATCCCTAAACACATCTAGTCTGTTTGCTTTTTTTTTTCCCTAAGGTGTTTTAAGGTCCATTTATTTCCTTGTTAGTTGAGTACACTGTTGTAAGCAAAGGCAAGAAGTTATGCCTTTTGCCTAGCTGACACACAGAACTTGAGGCTCGTTCTCCCTAAAGGTCTGTAAAAATACCATCAGGTCAGAACCAAAGACTTGGATCTTTATTCTGTTAAACAGTATTTTGTGTCATTTATCTATAATCCTGCTTTTTTTCTCCTGCTGTTTTTTAGTACATGAGCTACAACCTGCTGACATCAAAGTCATAGGAGCATTGGGAGATTCCCTGACTGTGAGTACTGCTGTGTTCCCATGTTTAGAATGAGAACAGCAATTGTCGATTTCTACCTAGATGTGGTTGTGTCAGGCATCGTCAGATAGAAAGCAAATTGCTTTGGCTTGGCAAAGCAAAACTCATTTACCTGTGTCCCTTTGCAAAGAAATAGCCTGAAGGGATATGAGTGACACTGGCAATTGTGTAATCCAGTAATGAATAATTCAGGCCAGAACAGAAATGGGATTGCATTCTCTACTGCACACAGTTTATTCAAGTGTTTTTGAAAAGGGAAATGTCTGCCTTATAAGAACAGTTTTTTCTGACATAAAAACAAGAGCAAGCAATTGGCATTTTTCATGCAATGAGAATTCTTGACGAAAATTCGTATAGAAATAATTGATTGCAGAACAAAGTGCTTGTCACTTGAGATAATTCTGATACTTCTGTATTTCAGAATTTTGCTTTCAAATGTTGCTTCCTGGTTTAGGCATCTTCCAGTTAAAACTCTGATGTATTTCATGTACCAGGAAATGCAAACTGAAAAGAGCAGGCACAGAGAGGAAGGGCCTCAGAAAAGAATAGCAGGCAACATTGCAGATCTGCACCAAAGTTTTCTGAGAAAAAGTTCCAGAATTACACAGCACTACAGAATTGTTCTGGCTGGGAGGGGACGGAAAAATGACAGAGTATTTCCCACATGTGTGTACACATACACACACACCCCCATACACAAAGTGCAGTACAGTCAACAGCAGTGCACACTCTGGACTGCCTAACCATCCCCGGGATGGGTCAGAGGGACTGCAGCAGCAAAGATCTGTCTTGGTCCACTAAGGCATTGATTTTCCTCCTGGTGTTTCTCACAAGAGCCCTGAATGCAGTCAGTGTTTATGGCTGCATTGACACTATGGCTTTTTGAAGAATACAGAATTAAATGAAACCACTAAGAAACTATAAAACTGCAAAAGAACCCATTTTTACGATTGCTGTCCTGATGCAAGTCAGGGTGTTGACCTTGCTAGAGGTCTGTCCCAGTCTTTTGAGCTACTCAAATCCCTCACAAATTTCTCTGTTCAGATGTCTGTGTCTCTTTCTCCGCTCTTTCTTGTTCACACCACAGGAAGGCTGTTCTCAGTCTAGATGCAGTTGGAGATTAGTGAAACATTGAGCAATTTAGTCATGTCACTAGCTAGAATGAATCCATCTGACTTCTTAGCACCAATGTACAGTGAAAGCAATAAATATGCCAACATCCTTATCTGTATTGGCAAAAAAATCCTGCCTACACCTCATCAAGTCTGTGTGTTAGACTAGCAGACCGGGTCTAGCAGACGAAAAGTGGATTTTACACCAAAGATTTGTTTTCTTGGCAGATTAAAAAGCAGCTCCTCTGCTGATTTATTTACAGCTAAAACTGGATGGGAATTCTTCATCAGTATGTGGGGTTTTTTTGTTGTTTTTTTCCCCCCCTGGATTATTAAGTCTCTCAAATCCAGCTTTCTTCAGGAAATGCCAGGATGAAGCATTTTCCATCAGAAAAATCCAAAGAAATACAAAGCTGTTGATGTTAATCTGGGTCCCACTGGGTTTCTAAAACAATATTAGAGCAGTAGTTCTAAAGCCTTGTGTCCTTGACCTTACAGTCAGATGCCTCTGGCTGGACTATATCTCCTCTGATGTTCCATGGTCCACTATCTAGATGAGCTGCGTTTGTAAATGAGAAGCCCGTGAATTTGAAGCACGGGAGATGCAGGGCCACCCAGAGGCCAGTGTGTGGTGGTGAATAAGGACATGGACCATTTATGCTAAAACAGGAATACTGCAAAAGCTTGGCTGGATGCAGAGTAAAGTTACCAAAATTCCTCAGCACTTTCAAATCACGATGTCTGTCTTAGCTAAACTTGTAGCACTTTTTTCTTCTAGTATTTTATAAATTATTCTTTCCATCCTTTCCAGACTGCAGTAGGAGCCAAAGCAACTGACCTACAAACAGACTGGAGGGGACTTTCTTGGAGGTGAAAATACACAATTTTCTCTTTCTCTATTTTTGTCCACACAGTTAACAGTGTGGGTCACCTGGTTGTGTAGTTACATACTTAAGTGTGTAAATGCAGGGGTAGGATGCTGAGAGCAGGTATTGCTGGGTAAGGATTAGAGGAGTCAGGACTGGAAGAGAAAGGGAGTGACTCTTGTGGGTCTTTTGGTGTTTGCTTTTGTGGGTGTTTTGTTGCCTTTTTTTTTTTTTTTTTTAACCAGACCCAATTGCTACAAGCATAGTCCTGTGTGTCTGACAGTACTGGATCGTTAATACGAGTGAATTCTTTCAGCCTCCTGGCAGTCTCTCTGGAGTTTATTCAAAATATTGCTGCTGTGATTATCTAATGCAGTGTCTAATGCAAGAGAGTCTGAGTGAGTGTGGATTGGCATGACCATGGTGAGAGCACTGCATGCATATTCAATGGAGATGTCTCAAACATCTTTGCTGTTGCAAGGTGGACAAAGACAATACATGTCAGAGTGGGTGTCAATCTCAATATCCATGCTAGCGTGGAAGGAAATTGCCTGCTTCATATAGGCAGAAATATGGTTGATAAGCATGTGCACATGTACACATTCTTTTCTTCATCCTTTCTTCCCCCCTTGTATGTATCTTCAGGAGGGGCTGACAGAAGTGGTATGAGAATGTGTTGGCTACGCACACAGACAAGTTTTGAACGGTAGAGGCAGAGGCTCTTTTCATAACCAAGATTGCAGAATCACAGATAGGTAGTTAATAAGCATTTAATGGAGTCTCTCTTCTAAGCATAACTGCACAGAAATGTAGTTTCAGCAAGGTCACATGGAGTAACTTTGGTGAGGAAATATGCCTTTCTTTGATGGGCATGCCAGCATGTCTATATGAAAAATCAGTTCTCTCAGTATGCTCTATTCCCAGTCTGGAGGCATAGCTTCTATCGTAGCTGATGACCTGCTTGATTTAATGCGAAATCTCCTTTCAGTACTTTCCCTGAGTTCTTGTGGTTTATCTCCTTAGTCCTGTTTGAGGTTAGTCTTTTTTCTTTTTTTTTTTTTTTTTTTCTTTTTTCCTTCCTGGTCTGCTCCAGCAACATATGGTGACAATAAGACAGATGGTTGCAGGATTAACCCTGCTTGGTGATTTTGTTCTTTCCCTTTGTAGTATTGGAGGTGAAGGGACCCTGGAGACCCAGACTACTTTACCCAGTAAGTATCCTGGAAAATCAATCTGAAAAAAGCAAAAGGCAAGTATTACTCTGAAAGTAGACTAAGTGGATGCTCGGAAACATCTGGAAATGGTCAGGCTTTCCTTGCGCACAGTGGGGAATGCCCACTGTTGTGGATATCAGCAGTTCATGTGAGTCACAGCTGAAACCCAGACTGACCTGACTAGCTGTAAAGTTGATTCAACCCCTCCACATCACAGGACCTGCATGTGATTGTATCGTCCTTTTGACAGAAATGATTAGGAGTAAATGTGCTGAAGGTGACAGAAGTTCATGGCAGGCCCGCTCCTCCCTTATTTCATTTTGTGCTTTCCAGTGACTGGCTGTAATGGCTGTGGGCAAATGAAGGGTTATGAAAAAATTAGCAGTCCTTCTAGAGAGGGTTGTTGGCAAGGTTATGGTTCCTCCTGATGATTTCAAGTTGCTACATTGCACTGAAAAAAAAAAATCTAAAAATACTATAAATTTCTTGTCCTAGTGTTCTGTGTAATCAGTCCCTGGAGTTGCCATAGAAACCATTAAGTGGTCAGTGTGACCATAAATTGGAAGGGACTTGGTTCACAATGGTTCATCTATTTGTATGGGATCCACACTGTGGAGTGGTTTGACAATACCTGACATTGTTGGTAATAAAATCTGATATGCTTTGCTGTGTTTAAAGAAAAATAGAAGGTATGTTTCATTTATGCATTTTAAATGAGACTCTATAAAGAGGTTTCAGACAGCACTTACAGACACAGTAACAATAACAGTTTTCAGACATCACGCTTCCACACTGAGGGTTTTGGTGAAATCTAGAAACGTGAATAAAATTCACCTCTCTGCAATAAATATTATCATCTTGATGGGTAGCTGGAGGAGTGGGAGGTAGAGGGCCATATTCAGAGCATCTGCTCCTGGTACATGAAGGAAAGTAACTGTAATTACTCTGGCACTCAAATTCAAGATTAGTGAGTGGCCTGGGACCTGTGCATCTCCTGGGCTGCCAGACCCTGGCTCCTCAAGGCCATGGAATGGAGAGAAATAGTTGTGGTGCTGAAGTCTGGGCAGTAACTACAGTTTCCAAGGCAGGTGTGTCTATAGCTTCTGAAAGGTCACAGTGACTGAGAGGAAAACCCAGGTCCATTTCTCACCCCTTGATAGACTCGTGCTTCTGTGGGAGGCAATGCTGCTCCTTGTACTGTGCATGGTTAAACGTTGTTTTTTCTCTTTTTAAGATATCTTGAAAAAATTCAACCCCAACCTCTTTGGCTTCTCCACTGGCAGCTCTAAGGAAACAGCTGGATTCAACGTTGCAGAGGGAGGCTCCACAGCACGGTAAGCACAATCACGACTGAGAAAGGGTGAAGGGGTGAGAACTGATGGACTGGCAGATTACCTTTGAACCACGTGTTGAGTTAATACTGATGATCTACTTGTTCTGAGAATGTTTCTGTGATCTGATGGTTTTTATTTTGGGTTTTTAAATTTTTTTTTTATTCAGTGTTTGTGGGATTTATTTGTATCTTTTTCTAAATTAGCAACAGAGAGAAACTTCCTTTCTTCATTTGATCTCTGCCTAGAATTTCTGAGCCAATGCCTTAGCTACACTTCTAATTCTACCACTACCTTTTTCTGCCCAGCCTTCAGTACACAGATCCCTGATTCACTGTCAGACCATATCTCTAATGAGAAAAAATTCATAAGCATCTGTCATCTATTCCTTGATTTCTGGGAAATGTGCCTCAAACTAACAAATAGAAGCCCACTGCTACCCTAATGGCATTAAAAACTATCTGTTTGCAGTGCAAAGAAAAAGAACAGAATGAGCAGCTGGAAATTAATTCTTCTCCTGAAGAAAAACTACTAGTCTGTTAAGAACCAAAATGTATAAGAGTTATCGCATACGCTGTGCCTGTTCTATGGATACTCCATGAAATTTGCTTCCAAGACTTTCTGTGACACCTTTAACAGCCATTAAATTTACTGCAAGAGAGCTTCTGGATAGCTAGCAAAGCCTGTATAGCTACTAAATACTTCATGGGTGCCCTGAGCAAAGACTCAGGGTGATCAGTATGGTTGTAGGAGCACAAATAATGTAACCGCATTTGTGTAGGTGCTGTAGAGAGGCAGGGCTTATTAGCTCAAGCACAGTCTCATGCCAGTGTATCAGGAGCTCAAGTTTCCAGCTGGTGTCTCAGCATGGTTTGTGCTTCACTCCGTGGACGTTGCATCCTGCCCAGAGCTGGACTGGGGCTCTGCAGCCTGGCAGTTCCACAGAGTAAGCAGCACCTTCCAGCCATAAGACAAGCCGTAGGAATTAAAGGCCAGATCAGGAAGGCTGGTTAGGTGCCCAGCTTCTATGTAAGCACAAAACTCCCCCCACTAGATTTTGAAGGGAGTTATGCAACTAAATGTCTCTGTGCATTTGGGCATTAGTGGTTTTCTCCAAACAAAATGCACTTAAGCCAACTCTGACATGGGAAGAATTCATCCCAGTTGCCTGCCACTTGGCAGCCATCCTAGCTGAAGCCCTTTCAGATCAGATTATTCACTTGTGCAACTGCTGCTGATCTTGGTCCTATGTTTGCTCATTCTTTTGAAGCATCACTTTCCTTGTACTGGTTTCTGTGGATCCTAAGATTCCCTGAAATGAGAAGTGGGAGATCAAGAAGATGATGGGCTTTCAGAGCATGCATCTAAATTGTTTCTGTCCTCTCTCTACAGCAATATGTCAGCCCAAGCACGTGAGCTAGTGGAGCTAATGAGAAGCAGCTTGGTAAGTAGAACTTGGGCCACCCCTCAGTGTTCCTGTGGTCTCTGGGAGATGACTTTAATTGATGAGATGCTTGAGTAGTGCAGAGTGCTTTACTGATAGAAGAAAAGTCAGTATCCTTGTCTCTGGTGTGCTTCCCAAGATGAATGTGCCAGGGATTAGCTTTAGGAGATGATAGTTTACCTATAGAAATTCATGCAGGTACACACAAGGCAGAGACTAATGTACGGTGCAGTGCGGCCAGGAGTTGTAAGGGTGGTAGTGAGGAAGAGGAGAGATCTGAAAGCTCTGTGGAGATCACAGGACTGTTTAGTTGAACAGCAGCATTCAAAGTGGAGGGAGGTCATAAAGGCTGAGTGTAAAATCACTGAAGCAGGCACCTGCTGACCAACATGAATCACACTATTCACTCTTGGGTCTGGGAAATGGCAATACTGCGAAAAGGGACAACTGAAGCCTTCCCAGGAGATCAGGCCCTTTGAAACTCTGGTTCTGAACAGGCAAGTGATTAATCAGCCGCCAGAAACCTCAGGGTTGGGTGAATCCCTGTCACGCCACGAACTTTTAGGGAATTAGTAGGGGATCTAGCATTGTGGACCAGTCTGCTGTGCCAGCTCCACTGAGGACTACAAAGGGCACCGAAAGGGCGACTCATTTTTAATTCAGTGGCGGTGGCTGCTGCAGTTTGGGGTGGGGGGAGGAAATTTGGGAGAAAACCAAGGCTGCCCTGCTCCAAGTGTTGGCTGAATTGAGTGGGTGACTGGGTGTGAGCTGTTGGTTCAGGGAGAGCACCCTGTAAGGGAATGGGAGTGCCTGGTGCTCCTTGGCTCAGGCTGAATGGGAAAGGAAGGTACTGAATAAGCAAGATTTGTCAAAGCATGTGTCTCTGCATGCCAGCACTCTTGATGGATGCTTCATGCTAGTCCCACTGTCAGTTAGTCTGCATTACCGATTGTTTGGCAGAGTGAAGGGAGCTGGCATGGCTCTTCAATAAAATAGTACGTGGCTCTAGAGCTTTGTTTTATTCACTGCTTTTTATGCATCTTTAAAAAAGGGGAGGAGGGAAGTCCCTGCCACACTTTGCCTCTTCATGAAAGGCTTTCCGAGCAAAGTGCTGGTTAAGGAGGAAAATTCAGACCTGTGGGTGATTCCCAGGCCCTTCCTCTATTTGTGGGATCATTTTGCAGATGTTTGTTATGTAAATGCACCACACTAAAAATAGTTGCCTTTGATTCCTTTCTTTGTACTGAATGTTACAAAATGTTTTGATGAGAACCAGCTCTCAGCAGTGCCTATTGTTAGCTTGCGGTGACGTGGATGCTGCAGCTGCCCTTATATGAGCTCAGTGAAGTCACCAGCCTCCTGGACTCTTCTATTTTAATCCAGCTGTCTGTTCCCTGGGGCACCCCTTGCTCCTCCTGGCCGTGGGGCAATACTTGCCCAGCTGGCAGGGATCCCCAGCAGCTCCAGTTCCACAGCTCCATGAGTCACTCCAGCATCCACTCCCACACCACTTCGGCCCCACACTGCCTGCAGTGTTCAGCCATGGCTGGCAAATGTCTCCTGTCCATCCCTGTCCTGAAGCTAACATTCATTTAGGCACACTTGCTGCCACCGGCACGTTTCCGTGCTCAGCTACCCTGACAGATCTTGTCTGGTGAAGGGGATTTCCTTACAAAAGCCAAGGTGAGTTGCAGCTAGACTAGTAAACAGTTCACATTTCCCCCCCGGACAGATGCTTTTCTTCTGCCGTCATAACTCAGCATTGCCTCCTTTCTCTGTTCTGCCATGCTGTCTGTACCCCGTTTAGCCCCATTTGCGAATGTTACCTCTGCATGCCTAAGCAATGGATGCTGCAATCTGTTTATTTTATGTGCTGCTAGAAAATGAACTTCAAGGAAGACTGGAAGCTGATCACTGTCCTCGTTGGAGGCAATGACCTATGCCAGTACTGCTTGGACAAGGTTTGTATCTCTGAATTAGGCATGCTCATCCGGGCACTTGGCAGGTGACCAGCCCTGGAAGTTTAACCTTTCTCAGTGAGCCAAAGCTCCTCTTTGTTTAAAAAGCACTTAGAAGTTCTGTTCCCTTCATCTCTATTGTATTAGAAACAAGTGCATAGCTTTTAATACTGGGGCACTGCAGCTCTGGAGTAATGCATTAAGAACCAGCAACCTGCCTCATATTGAAACGGAACCACCAAGCATAAACTGAAGAGCCTCCCACCTTAACTGGACAAAGCAATCAAGACAGTGTGGTGTCTTAGGCATGTTGTTATGGGGACACAAGTGAAGTTTTATTCTGGAAAGCCACTCCACACAATAATTACGGAGGATGCCCGATTCTTCTTCAGAATGACACCAAAAGTAGTAACATCAGTTTATAGTGAAAAAGATGCCTTTTATCTAGCTATCAGTGGTCATCCCCTTTGAAAAGGTTCCTGTGACATGCACTGGGGGCCTGGACCCTAGGTCATCGAAATGATCAGGGACTGTTCTCTGTTTTGCTCATTTTCCTTGAGAGGCTGCTGCCTGGAGTCTTTGTCCCCACAGTTACACCTCTATAATTACACTCACAAAGTCATTTTGCCTGTGAGTTTTGTGGGGCCTGACTGCCTCCATATCAACTTCCCCAGACTGGTAGTGTGTAAAAAAAAAAAAAAAAAAAAAAAAAAAAGGTATCGCTCTGTTCATAAGGCAAACTGGTCTGGTCTGGGTCCCATAAAAGACAACACGAAATCCAAAGATGTGATTTATGTAGTCATTCATCAGTCAAAAGCTCTGCCAAGAACTATTATATACATCAGGATTTTCTACAGAGATTAAGGGAATATATTAGTGACATGGAAACACAAGCACAATATAACCTGTGTGCATGTGGCAATAAATCTCTTGATCTGAAAATATATCTGCCAACAAAGGCAAAAAGGAACATCGAGTCAGTATATCTTCTCATGGACCATCTTGCAACTAGAGAGTCTGTGGACTCCTTTGTTCAGGCTGAACAGTTAAACTTCTTGGTTCCTGAAAGAAGACATCAAATTTTTTTTTTAATTTTTTTTTTATTATTTTTTAAATTACACAGGAAACCTATTCAGTGAAAAAGTATGTAAAGCACCTTCAGGACACTCTGGATATTTTCTACAAGGAGGTAAGCTTTTAAGATACCCTAGCAAGCTATGTTCCTGGCAAGCACACTGATGTTTTTCTCACCTCTGATAGACTGTCAGTGATTATGTTTCATCCAAGGTCATCTTCCAAATAGCTGGAGTCAGACTGCTCCTCAGCACTGCATTTCAACAACTATGTTAGATAATACCCTGAGAAAGTGGGCTGCAGTTTCAGGAAAACTGCGTGTTTCACAGTATTTTTGCTGTGGACCAAACATAGCACAACCATACTGCCAGTTTTGATGGCTAAACCAACTGTACAAAGTTTCATTTACCCTAGAGAAAATGAAAATGCCCTAGGGAGTGAAGCAGCATTTCAGCTAGTTTGTACTAGCTGCCAGGATTTTTTTGGCTGACAGCCACTCTAAGTCTCCCTCCCCCTCCCTTTATACATCATCCTTGCACATGCCATTTGTTGCAGACGGTGCAGTTTGCACTGACTCCCTGACCTACGGATGGCACTTCTTTCTCACTTTGTAGTGGTATCATGTTCTGTGATTTGGTATGTCTGGTTATTATAATCCCTGCAGCTCCCAAGAGTCTTTGTCAACATAGTGGAGATATTAGAGATTTCTGGACTGCGTCAGATCGCAGCAAGCTCTTCGGGGTGCGCTTTAACAGCAAAGTAAGTGAGCAAAACAGGTCTTTGCCTTTAAAGTGCTGTATTTTTGGATCAATCTAAGTTGCTGCTACAGTAGGACATCTACACCGAGCTTTCCAAGCTACTTTGGTTGCTGCCTTTACCTGATGCACTAGTTCCCATCAACTTTCTATTGCTTCTTCCAATACTTCAGCTCAAAGGCACACGCCTGTAGATAGCAGAGTCGTTACTTTTCTTCTCAGCTCTAAGGCAGCATGTCACAGCACAGGTCACCATATAATTGCCGTACTACTGAACTTCAAAGCCTTTTTTGCCCAGCTGTTCACTGCTCAGCAGCACAGGCTGACATCCCTGACGCCTCTCCTCATATTCAGGGCTGGCATTACCTACGGTGCAGGCTGGGCTGTACACAGCAGAGTGCACAACCAGGAACTGCTTTCCACACCTAATGGAGGAGACCAAAATCCTTACTCAAAGAAGATAAAGGGACTTGTTTTAGAACTCAGCAGTGCCTTTACAGGAGACATGGAAAGGCTCTTTAGGCTAGCAGAAAAAGGTATCACAAAGACCAGTGGTTGGAGGCTGACGCCTAATGAATTCAAATGAAGTTAGGCACAGATTTTTAATAATAGAAGCGGTTAACTACTGGAACACACTAGAAGGAAGAAATGATGAGTTGACTGTATTGCTTGGTATCTTCTTATTAATTCCAGGCACATTCTTAGAGGATGCATTTCAGTGAAGCACAAGTTATTGCTTCTTGATATGGGGATCACAGAATGAAACACAGTGGCCTGAGGAGTTAGACTACATGAACAGTTTGTCTCGTCTGCCTTTAAACCCCCAGATTTCTGAAACTCTGCTGTAAGCCTATATGTAAGGGGCGTTTATTCTAACGTGTGATTTCCTGGTAACACATCTCATACTAAATGCTTCTATGTCTGACTTTCAAGAGTTGTGGATCCTCCAGCTCTTCCCAGCTGTGACAGGTCTCCACTTCTAAAACTAAGTCAACAGGGATTTTTTTATTAAGTATTCTGTCCACCTCTAAACCAACAAGGTGGCTTTCCTTCTGCACGTGAGCTTTGAGCGCTTATCCTGAGCTTCTTGACGCAGACACATGAGGCTGAAGAACTGGCTTTTAATTTAGTATTTCTTTCCCTGAAGGAACGTTTGTCCATGTTTCTTAAACCCTGAGGAAAATTCTTCTGAACTACAAGAAATGAAGAGAGTTAACAGAGATTTTCAGGTAATATCTTGATTCTGTAACTGGTCATCTTGTGTCTTCTCATATTGCTTCCCTCACCGCCCTTTCTCTCATGCAGATCCTCAGCAGGACAGAGAGGGATGACTGGGACACAGCTTGGCTACAGTCTAACTAAACCCCTACCCAGCTAACCAGTTAGCAGCAGTGCAAGTCTTCCTACACTGCTTTATGATTTGACCTCAATTCTGGAGCTGGAGGCAGATTGAGATCGATTTTGTTTCCAGTTGCTGTTTCCACAGCTGAAAAGGAGTTACTGATGATGGCTGTTCTGTTGATATGTGTTTGTTCACTATGAATCCAGTGAATAGCTCACATGAATTAACATGTCACTGCGAGGGTGACAAATTACCTTGCATCAGCTGTTTTGTGGTAACTCCTAGCAGAAAAAATGAACTGAATCAACCTGATATTCCTTTCTTTTGCTATGTGCTGAAGGCATGCACACAGATAGCTTACCCATGGGTCAGCTTGCTAGCTGAGAGTAACTTTTCATAGCCTCAGGCATAATATTCACTCAAATTTAACAAAGGCTATAAATAGCTATTGGAGCAGAAGATTTTTCTATCGTTATTCCTATGAATACAGGAATCACTATATCAGATCACATTATGTTCTCCAGTCCTCCATTCTGTCCCTGGCAGTGGATGTTTTCGGATGAATCTGACAATGCTCAAAACATCCACCTTGGAAAATATTTGTATAAACCTACCCAAGGGGACATTTTACTTAACTAGGGAAATGGGTATAGGAATGTTTTGAGATATGACCAGGAGCATTACAATTTATACCCATAAACTGGCAAGTAACGATGAGTTGTTTTTAGTATCTGTATCAATGTCTGTGGCCATAGTTTTCAAAAGTGGCAGGTGATTTTTTAATGCTTAAGTTTTATTTTACTTAAAGCACACCTTTCTGAAAAATCAAGCACACTTCAAATGTCTCATGTTGGCATTCTGAACTCATTTGTCACTTCTAAACATTTTGGCCTTATTCTTTTTTTTTTTTTTAATTCTCTCTAAATTTTAATCTTGTTGCAACCGTGGAGCTCTAATTTCTATAAGTAAGGTACAAACTATTTTTTTTTTTTAATTAAGCAACTTTACATTGCAAATTATCCTAGCTTAGGTGCATTTTTCTCATGGAAATCTCTTCATGAAGCAAATTATTTTCTTAGCTGTTCTCTGGACTGCTTTACGCTATTTGGCTGGATTTATACTAATAATTTATGGCTTCCTACATTGAAAGAAGTGCAATATGCCTGTTTTTGATAGCTGACAAATGTTAGATGAACCTTGTAAGTAATTTTTCTGTTTCAAATCATTAAACTCCATACAGGCTGAAGCCTTACAGCTGATCAACAGCGGTCGGTATGAAGAGCGTAAGGACTTTGCAGCTGTCATGCAGCCATTTTTCCGAAACACCTTGTTGCCCCTGGATAGTGTGAGTCCTGTTTTTCCTTCCCGTTACGCAAGGACCAGTATCTTGATTTCTCTAAAGTCAGTAAGATCCATGTCATAAGGACTGTGTTTTCTTCTCTTTGCACAGTCTAGTGGCACACGGTAGAATTTGCAATAAGTGTGACAGAGGAGAAGACAGGAAAAACTGTGCTGCCTTTTAATCAAAATGGCTTTAGGAAACATTCACAGTGTGCACACATTAAACCTAAGCACCCTCTGGCTTCCTCTAAACTGCATGTTGCTTCCCCAGTTGGAGGCTTGGTTGGCATTCACCATAATTTTCTTTTTCTATTTTATGGAATATGTTCAGGTTTCCTTCACACAGAGCCAGGCACTTGCATGCCTCACTCATCCCAGACTGGAAACAGGAAATAGCCTTTGAAGCCAAACAATCATTCTTTCTTTTTTTTTCAGCCTTAGCATTATGTATGCTGTATAGTTAGGGATGCAAATATTTAGCGTGAATCCTGGTCAAAACCATCCAGTTTTGCATAATACTGATCCTTTTGTCATGTCAT